TTTTGAGCATGCCACACAGCTTCTAGGGTGTTTTGAGCATGCCACACAGCTTCTAGGGTGTTTTGAGCATGCCACACAGCTTCTAGGGTGTTTTGCGCAGTAGCGCTCTTGGTGTCGCGCGGAGATCTTGTGGAGTTTGGCATAATAGTATGCGCAGCGGCCTTGTCGTAGCACTATGCGATCATTTGATTCTGCAGGTTGAGCAGCAGGGGGAGGACCATGGCACTCTTGGTATTGCTTACAGGTCCTGCGGTGTTTGGTGTTTGGTGTTTGTTTGATTTGTCGTGGCTTTGTAGACCGGCTCAGAGAGGTCTCTAATTTTCTTTAGACCTTTGGCGGATGTCGTCGCTGCTTTCCTGTTAGTAGAGCCTTTTGTGCTACGGTGCAATTAATTTTTTTTTCGTGTTTTATGTGATTCTCATTCGGTAAGTGTGTTGCCTTATGCCCTCCATCCTTTTATAGATTATAATAATAATAATATATTTGTGCAAGTGTGCCGCTCTGGTGGCAGACGGGTGTGCGGGCACTTGGCGCTTAACCACACAAACGTGGCCAACCTTGCATCTTCAACTATATTGTCGATTTATACCTTTTATGGATGGTTGGTGATGATTTGTGGATGGAACGAGAGAGAGAATTCGGGTTTTCACACACACACACACACACACACACACACACACACACACACACACACACACACACACCTGCAGCACCTGTATCTGCGGGGGGTTATCCCATACCTGGATGGTATCTGTGTGGCCTTCCGCTAGGCTGCCATCGATGGGGCACACTGACCAGACTGATACCTTCCTGAAGCCGTTGTCCGTTATCTCCTGCAATCTCCAGACTGAAGGCGGGTCCGTTGGAATTGATGGTGCGTACCAGGTGTCAGGTGGGTCTTGGGCCTCCGGCCCCAAAAGTACCATCCAGGTCTGTGGGATCGCGCGCTTAAGCTCTGAGAGATGTGGCTCCACGTTCCTCAGTCCTTGCAGTTTCTCATCCAGGTCTCTCCTTGGTCTCCAGTTTCCCACTAGAGGGTCCCATAGGTCCAACATTGTGCATACCCCCCTCTGGACCCACGCCTTCCCGAAAGCGCCAGGTGCCGCATTGACCATAAATCCGTTACCCGCCCTATCTAGCACCAATGGGTTCTCAAACAAGCACTGCCTCAGGACCTCCTCCCTTGAGGTCGGGGGAGTTCTTGCGTCTGGGGGGTGAGCCACCCACGCTCTGTGAACGCCTTCCCAAAATTCTGACTTCAATCTGCGCCGCATAAAAGATTTGATAAAAAAGCAGACCCACACGTCCCCCTGCCTGCTCAGGTGCCATTCCTGCATCAGTATGTGTTCCCCTAGCAATATCCAGTCCTCTCTCTGATCTGACAGGGCCACCTTCGCCACCCATGACCTGACGCTAGCCTGGTTTCTGAGCCGGGCGTCCATGAGACCCAAGCCCCCCTGCTCCTCATGGATAATCAGGTCCCAGGCTACTTTCACCAAGAACCCATCTTCCAGCCCCGCGCGAGGTTTCCATAGGAACCTTGTGATCAATCGCTTTACTTCTGCTAATACTGCTGTGGAGAGTTCCCTCACCTGTGCCACGTACCACAATAGGGAGAGGAGGGAGGAGTTTATGACCATCGCTCTCCCAAAGATAGACAAGTGCCAAGCGGAGCCCCACACTTTCAGTTTCAACGCAATATGCTGCTGTAACCGCCCCTTGTGCCCCGGACATGAGCTCTAGGCTAATCAGCACTCCCAGGAACCGCTCCCCCTCTGCCAGATTGACCCTGTGCATGCCCCATTCTACCACTAGCGCGAAGCCTTCCGGCAGAATAAAGGCTGATTTATTCCAATTGACCTGCGCCTCAGATAGGAGGGAATACTGCTGCAGGACTGACTTGACTGCCTCCAGCGGTGTAGTGCTTTCCAAATTGCACGGTGTGGGTTTTAGTTATTTCTGATATTACGACGGGAGTATAGAACTAGATGATAGCAGTGAGACTGGGAACGCGAATCCGGACGAACAGACCAGCGAGGAATGATAGAGTATAGGACAAATCTATATATCAGATGAGAGGCAAGGCACGGGCCTCTTTCTATGACTAAAGCGCTGTTGAGGCGCACCTTCCTGATGAGTCCTTTTAGTGGACACATGAAACCCCGTAGAGGGACCTGCTTTGTCACTTCTGGGAAGCTTTGGCTATGGTGGCAAAGCGATATGGGTTGCGTGAATGTGGACAGGGTTTGACTGTAATTTTGAAGATTGAGCCTGTGTATATCAGTTTTTTTTTTTTTTTTTTTTTTTTTTTTKTTTKTTTKTTTKTTTKTYTKTTTGTTTGAGGGCYWTATATCAGGGTTTGTTCAAAACTTGTGAGATCTGTTTTCTAAGTGTACAACTCTGTTTTCCCTGCTACTGTGCTCTTCCCGATCAAGCTGTTGCCGCAGTCTGCCTCTCCCATCCCTCTCTATTCCGGGAAGCAGCAGTGCGGCTCCTTTTCCACTGGCAAGTCAGAAAGGAATACAGTAGCAACTCATGCTTCCCGGCGTTACTGCGGGGGGCCGTCCACTGGCAAACTGTGAAAGGGTTTTTCGGGGTGGGATCATGGGATGGGCCTGTCTCTTTCGATTTTTTTTGTTTTTTTGGTCTCATTCTGTTTGTAATATCTGCTTATGTGTGTTCTCTGTGCGTGCAGTTTGTATGAAGTCCACTGCATTAGGATGGGAAGCAGTTAAGCAGCGTATACTTCCGGCGCATAGGAACATTCATGTTTAGATTGGTCATGTTCGGGTCTGATATACCACATATTTGAGTGGAATGCCATGCCATGCCATGGACTTCATTACACACGCACCCACACACACACACACACACACACACACACACACACACACACAGAGGGGCGTCCACGAGAATATGCACAGACAGACAGAGATGTTCGGAGCCTTGCACTTGGGATGGAAAACACATCTCCTGGGAAAGCTTCTCGACCTGGACACATCTTGAAATGAAAACAATTGGAAAAAGTATACAGGGCTATCACCTTCTCTGGCAAGACTTTCCAATCTTTTATAATTTGTTTGGATGGTATTTAGAGCCTAATTTGCGTGTTTGCTTGCCACTGCTAACGGAGTCTTGGTTGATGTGCTTTCCTTTCGCTTTTTAGATGTTTCGGTTCACTAAGTCAACTTCATTGCGGCTTCCGGATAGGAAATCCATGGATCAAGGAGGGCTTCTCCCCATGGCGTTTCGCCTTTCATAGCGTCCTTTTTTTTCTCAATGCCAAGCCATCCACCCAATGCATCCTTTTGGATATAACAGCGCCCTTCGCTACTTATCACTTTTTTCTATTTATTTATAAGTGTTCAATAGTTGACATTGTGCAATTGACCTGTCGACCACCAGTACCTACCGCATTTTTGGTACCTCTCGGGCTCGAATGAATTTGGACTGGAGGGGCAGTCCGCGTTAATGGCCGCCCCAACTGGTAGGTACTTGTGGTTTAACACCCCGCCCTTGCTTTGTGTAGGTAAAGGAAAAGGTTGGGAGTGCAATGACAAAAAAAAAAAGGGAGTGCAATACAATTGCCAACCCTCTGCCAAACTGTTTAAGGAAATTTAATTTAGCTCTCTTTTCAGACAATACTGATAACCTGATTTTTTTTTCAATGCAACAAAAACTCTCACGCACAAGCCTAAAAGAGACTCCACCACTTCTCAATACAGATATATATACTCTCTGCTTCCCTATGACACAGCATGATGAACAATCTTTAATCCCTGCGTGTCCATCCTCCTGGCCTCCTCCTTGTTGTTTCTCCCTTGCAGTATTGCATTGCCAGAGCGAGGCATAAGGTCTTGAATAATTGGGCTACTTGGCACTTGCCCTTCCTGCCTATTCCTCTCTGCCTACGCTAGGCCACGGGCAAATCGGCCGCGGCCATGGCCAGGAGGCCTAGTTTGCGGCCCAATTTTTTGGATTTTTTTTGTGAGGTCAAAAAATACGTGAAAAGACATATATATATATATATATATATATAGTCACAAACAGAACTGCCCGGGTAAACCGTAGGCAGAGAGAGAGAAGAGGACAACAAACCAGGGGCTGTGACAAACTGTTTCGTCGGAGTTTCACCGACTCATCAGGAGGCTGAACCCTCAACAGTCTGCATATATATATATATATATATATATCATACTTGCGGCGCATCACGCACGCGCCAATTGCGCACGTGCAGCGCAATGCGCATTGCGCACGCGGCGCGCACGTGATGCGCCGCACGGGAGAAAATAGGGGTAACTCAAAAAAAAAAAAAAGTTGCCGGGGGGTCTGAAACGAAGTTCTCCTGCCTTGCTAAAAATGAGGAACAGGCCGCGCAATTTTCTTTTTTTTTAAAAAAAAAAAAAAAAAAAAGGGCGACCGCCTTGAGATATTATCATTGAGCTGACCGGCCCCAAGCAATTCATTAGTAGTTGGTTTTACTCGTCAAATTCCATCATCTGGATTCGAACACAGGTCTGTATTTCAACAGTTCATGGGTGTGGTCCCCACTGAGCAATTTTTTTTTCAGGCCGCGCCAAGGCCTGAAGTTTTTTTTGGGCGGATGCAGTCCAGGACCCACGGGCCACGTCTCCATGGTTTAGTAGTGTATTCATAGGATCTTTCAGGTCCGATGCAGTCATTATGAAAAGGAGGCTCGTGAAAAGGAGGCCTTTTTCATAATGACTGCGTCGGAACGAGAAGAATGAGCCTCGTGAAAAGGCGGTTGTAAACAAAAAAAAAAATTAAAGAGAACCTGTCAGCACTCTTTCCACACCCTTAATGACGTTATGCTATCGCCAGAGCACACTTCACCTCATCATGATTGTATCAGACCTGAGAAATCCGTTATGTGCGTTCAGAGTGTCCTTTAGGATATCCATTGAACTTAAAACAGTACGCGTCGTACTAGGACTTTATGGCTGTATTTAGGGCAACTTGAAGTCTAGATACAGCCATAATGTCGGGCGTCTATTTGGGTGAAGGCAGTAGGGCGCCCTCTGAAATGTGTCTGACTGCAATTACGGCCATACCTGGATGAATCTGACCGCCATAACGTCCAGAGCTTAGTAGGAAAAGTCATGGTGTGAGAGCGTATTAACACTCGGACATTTCCTGCTAAGCTCTGGACGTGATTATGGTCAGATTCATCGACGTTCGACCATAATTGCAGTCAGATCCACTGAGGAAAAGGCCGGTGTGAGTAGGCCACTGAATTCGGAAAATGAGTGGGAAGCATACATTCTACGTCGCCCGCGCGTGCGTAACACGAACGGATCTCTCTCTCTCTCTGTCTCTCTCTCTGTCTCTCTCTCTCTCTCTCTCTCACACACACACACACACACACACACACACACACACTTACACACGAAAAAAAAAAAACAAAAAAAAAACAGGCACGGCGCACAAGGCGCACCGGCGAAAAGCAGCGTGTTTCAATGCGCTGCGCGCGCGTGCGCACGTGCACGTGCGGTGTAGCTGAGCGCATCCTGCATGGCGCAGTGCACCGCACGGCGCAGCGCACTGGTGCGCCGCATATATTATATATATCGTCACAAACAGAACTGCCCGGTAAAACCGTAGGCAAAGAGAGAGAAGAGGACAACAAACGAGGGGCTGTGACAAACTGTTTCGTCGGAGTTTCACCGACTCATCAGGAGGCTGAACCCTCAACAGTCTGCAGAATCCCCTCACTGATTACACTGTAAATGATAATCTACCTATATATAATTTAACTTGATTTACGAATTTAAAAAAATGAAAAACGAAAATCGATTATAACTTATTCGACAGGTAATTGAATTGGTTGGGCTTAAAAGAATTAGCCTTAAAATAAATAAATAAAAGAATAAAAGAAAAGCAGGATTTTTTTTTTTTCATTTTTTTCATGATTGATATGGAGTTCCTCCTAAAAATTTTGCACTGGTTATTTTCTTTTCTCTTCTTCTTTGCTGTTTTTTTTTTTTCCTTCTTCTTCTTCTTCTTTGCTGTTTTTTTTTTCTTCATCTTCTTCTTTGCTGTTTTTTCTTCTTCTTATTTTTCTTCTTCTTCCTTGCTGGTTTTGTTTTCCCTTCATCATC